CACTTGTTTATTAATAAAATTATATATATACAAGCAAATGCCTTCTATTGGATTTAGAGGTGTCGTAGGGAGTGATGGATGGTGTACAGCAGATTGTATAAAGGCCCATTTTTACTAGTTCTAACACTACACCTAACTAACCAGTTGTCAGGGAAAACTAACATTTAAATTCAGACTTTAAAGGATGACTAAAGAGAGAAAGGAGTAGAAAGGAATGGGAGGGAGTGCCTATCCCTTGCCTATCTGTATAGTCTGTTCTCCAATACACAGTTGTATGGTAAAGAAACTTTGAATTACCAAAAACATATTACCATATCTGTTAATTAGATAACATATCTGTTACCATATATCTAATTACCATATAACAGATATCTAATTACCGTATCTGTTAATTAGATGGATAAAAAGGACTAATGACTGAAGAATAGCTATCTCAATCTTCCTATGCAGTTTCTATAATAAATGAATTTTAATAGTTCAGTATCCACAAAACAATTAATGTGATATTTCACATCAAGAAAACCAAGGATAAAAATAATACAATCATCTCAATAGATGCAGAAAAAGTATTTGACAAAATTCAGCATCTATTTATGATGAAAACTCTCAGCAAAGTGGATGTAGAAGGAACTTACCTAAGAATGATAAAGGCTATATGCCAGGCCCAGAGCTAACATCATACTCAGTGTTTTCTTTAAGATCAGGAACAAGACTAGGATGCCCACTCTCACCACTGTTATTCAGCCTAGTACTGGAAGTCCTAGCCAGAGCAGTCAGGTAAAGAAATAAGTCGTCCAAATTGGAAAGGAAGAAGTAAAACTGTCAATATTTTCAGATGACATGATACTATTATAGAAAACCCTAAAGAATCCACCAAGAAATTAATAGAATTAATAAATGAATTCTATAAAACAGCAGGGCACAAAATGAATACACAAAAATCCATTGCATCTCTATACACTAATAATGAATGATTAGAAGGAGAAATTAAGAATCCCATTTACAATTTTATCAAAAAAAATAAAATAGGGCCGGCCGAGTGGCGCGATGGTTAAGAACTGGCTTGGGACGCCAGAGGGCCCCAGTTTGGAT